GGGCTGAGGCTGAGCCAGCCTCGGAGCGCACGGGGGGTGGGGGGTGCTTGGCCTGAGATCCGCCGCTGTGATGCTAACCGACCCCCCGCAGTTTGAGGCTGCCAGGGTAGCCTTCCATGGGAGGTGTTTATTTCCCTGGGAAATTTGTAGCCCTGCTGTAAAAGGCAGTTTCTCACCTTTATCCTTTTTATAAAGACATTGTAAAAGAGCAGTCACTGTGAATTTGAATTAGATTGAAGACCGGGATTATTTTACCTCTGGAGTTACAGAAAAGCATATTATGGTGTATTCTTGAAAACTGCATCTCTGTATACATTTTATTGTCAGCATTTGTTCATTTCCAGAAATTAATGAAAGTGGGCGAACATTTTGGAAGCAATGTGGTGCAGGTGATTCAGTGCTTTTATGATTCACACAGTTGCTATAGGAAGCTTGCTCTGAGTATTGGTTTGTTCTTGTTGACAAAGTGACTGGGCTGGGACTGGGGGATTCCTGGTGTATAAGATGAACTTAATGTAACAGCAATAAAATCAAGTTACTTGTTAACCAGAACTACTTAATATTGCACCTTTTCATATGCATACTTTTATTCCATTGTAGGGTAACTTTCCTCCCAACTTGAGACCAATTTTATTTTAAGAAATAGAGCATCACTAATGTTTTTCTGGCCCTCAGCCCACGCTTTTGCTCATCCCCTTTTATTATTATTGTTATTTTTTTTAGAAAAATACATCTCCATTGACTTCAGAGAGGAAGGGAGAGGGAAAGAGAAACATCAATGATGAGAGATTTATTCATTGGCTGCCACCTGCATGTCCCCCACTGAGGCATGCGCCCTTGACCAGAATGGAACCCGGAACCCTTCAGTCCGCAGCCTGACGCTCTATACACTGAACCAAACCAGCCAGGGCTTGCTCATCTCCTTTTAGTACGTGGTTCATGTTTGCTCCTCAGTTTGCTATAGGACATAACAGCTTTGATTTTCTTCCCAAAGGCCTTACCCCAAAAGACTCTCATTGAAGGAAACTCCGCCTAGAGTACAACCTTCTTATTTTACAGATGTGGCCCATGGGGGTGGGGGTGGGGGATGCACACAAGGAAAATACTCCATCAGGCTTCCCTTTTTTCCCTGTCACAAGAGTAATTGATAATTGTTTGTGTAAATATGTTTAATCTGTCTCCCCACTGGATTGTGAACTCTTGGAGGCCAAGGGCCCTCTCCTCTTCATTGCCATGGTCCAGCACAGTCATTACCTGAAGGACCTCTTAAGTAGTAAATGAGGAATGAAGTGAGGGGACTTGCCCAGAGTGGCCTGGTGGGTTGATGGCAGTTGGGCATGTAAATTGGTTTCTTTCAGGCACTTACTACTTTCTATATCACAAGCCTGGGAGGTCCCCTATGGTATAGTCATTCTATTTTTCTTTTGGAGACTGAAACTTCTGTTCTCTTTGCCATTGGTTCTTAATGATACAAATAATATGGGATCACTGTAGACCAGTGGTCGGCAAACTGCAGCTCACGAGCCACATGCGGCTCTTTGGCCTCTTGAGTGTGGCTCTTCCACAAAATACCACGTGCGGGCGCGCACGTACAGTGCGATTGAAACTTCGTGGCCCATGCGCAGAAGTCGGTATTTTGTGGAAGAGCCACACTCAAGGCCAAAGAGCCGCATGTGGCTCGCGAGCCGCAGTTTGCCAACCACTGCTGTAGACCAAAAAACAAGACAGATAAAAGGGAAAAGTTCAATTAAGTCACCCAAGTAACCGCTGCTCATATTTTGGCATGTCTTTTCCCATGCTTTCATGCATCCATGCATAAAATATGTGTTCATACACATAGAAAATCTTTTCATACAAATCTGGGATTATGTAAGTATCCGTAGCATGTCAATGATATAAAACATTTTCAATGACTCTAAAATATGTTGTCGGAGAATGTATCGTACTTTTTAAATTGGTCCTCTGTTGCTAGACACGTGGGGTATTTCCAAGGTGTTGTGATAAGAGAGAACACTGTAATGAACGTGAAGATGGGATTTTAAATTTGTGTTGGTTTCCTAGCTTGCCTTGTGGTTACTAATTAACCTTGATAGGGGATGTTTTAGTGAAGTCTGTGTTTGCCTTTCTTATGGTTTTATTAGCTGGGCAAGTGTGGAGAGGAAAACTGTTTATCCTGAAAGAACACATAGGAATTTACTAAAGTGTACCTAGGAAGAGGTCCTCAGCAACTGAAGCTTTTTATTTTTCAGTTTCTGCTCTTAAAGGGTGGGAACAAAAGAAGATTTGGAGGTAGGAGATAGTAGGAAAGGGATACAAGAGAAGAGTTAACACTAACAAAGTAATAGTTTTATACTTGGTTTAGTGGGGAGTGCGTAAAGTAAAAAACAAGTGTTTTGAAAGTTTAAAGTTTTATATGCATTTCCCCCCACAATTGTACAAATCAGAAGTGTAATAAAAGTGAAAATCTCCCATTTCTCCCCTTTCCACAGACTACTTTATGCACAAATATATATTGTCATCCTATACATGTCATCCTATAATTTATTTATTTAACCCAATACATCTATTCATGGTCAGTGTGTACAAATCTGTGATACTTTTTTTTTTAAATCAAGTTTTTAATGAGTAAATCTGAATTCTGTCAGTGATATATGCATACCTAGATCGATTTCTTAGGTCAAAGTTGAAGCTAAGTTCACTTTTAAATCCAATTTTCCAAGCAGCTGAGCCAGCTAGCTCTCTGTATCTTGACAGCCTTTCCTCCCAATGAGATGAGTCTGTATTATAATGAAGCGTGGGGTTTGGGGTGCAGACTTCTTCTTGTGGGCTCTTGTCCACGAAGATAAAGAATAAATTTGTAAAAGTTTTCCTTAATAAAAATGTAGAAGTTTATTGGAAGCATATACAAACTCCATCTAGGCAGGGGTGTCCCCAAAGGGGATCCCTGGGAAGGGGCCCCCAAATAGGAAAAAGCTGTTCTCTCTCTTTCTAATGGGAAAATAAATCTGTCTTGTGCTCCTTTGTCTCCAGTTTATATACAGTGGGGCCTTGACTTACGAGTTTAATTCGTTCCGAGACCGAGCTCGTCAACTCAAATTACTCTATCAACTCAATGCAAAAAATTGGCCGAGAGATAGCTGGTATCTCAAAAAACTCGTTAGTCGGGACACTCATAAGTCAAGGCCCCACTGTATATGCTGCAGCTCTTTGTTTGAACCTGACCCTTTCTAATTGGACTTGTCATTAATTTAGGACCCCTGTGCTTTCCTCATTGGTTATTTTGTTACAAAGTATCAGTTTCAAAGGCCAAAGCCCACATGGTACCCCCTCTTTCTCTCCCCTTATCTTGCAACAATAACAACCTTTGCTAATTCCATCATAATATTTATCACATTGTATTTTAGTTACCAGTTTATCAGTCTCCCGTTAGATTGGGGTTCCTTCAGAGCAGTGATTATCATGTTCGCTTTGCCTTGTAGTAGGTTCCAAATTATTTGTTAAATGAACAGTGAACAATATTTCTATTCAAGTGGTATGTATTTATTCATAATTACAGTATTGAGCATTAATCCCCAAATATTCTATAATCTGATTTATTTTTAATTTTTTAAAAAATTAAATTTATTGGGATGACATTGGTTAACGTGAACATACAGGTTTCAGGTGTGGGTTTCTATGTTACAAGGTCTGTATATTGCACCATGTGCAATAAAGTCAAATCTTCTCCTGCCCCGATATTTTAGGGCCCCCTCATCCCCCACCCCTTCCCTCTGGCAACCACCACACTGCTGTTTGTGTTCACGAGTTTTAGTTTTATATCCCACATATAAATGAAATCATCTTAGCTTTTTCTGACTGACGTATTTCACTTAGCATAATGTTCTCAAGGTCCATCCATGTTGTTGCAAATGGTGCTATTTCATCCTTTCTTATGGCTGAGTAGTATTCCGTTGTGTGTATGTACCACATCTTCTTTATCCAGTCTTCTATCTCAGGACACTTTGGTTGTTTCCTGTCTTGGCCACTGTGAATAATGTTGTATTGAACATAGGGGTGCATATATCTTTGCGGATAAATGATTTTGAGATCTTTGGGTATATACCCAGGAGAGGGCTTGCTGGGTCATATGGTAGCTCTATTCACAATTTTTTGAGGAATTGCCATAGTGGTTGTACCAGTCTACATTCCCACCAGCAGTGGATGAGGGTTCCCTGTTTTCCACAACCTCTCTAACACTTATTATTGCTTGTCTTGTTGATAATGGCCACTCTGACAGGTGTGAGGT